GAGGCTGGTGATCTCTTCTTTGGAGGTTTTTGAACACAGATAGGAAGGTCACAGGACAGCTTTAGTTATGCATTCATGCAAGGCAGGGGGTTGGACTGGCCCTTGCAGTCCTTTCCAGCTCTGTGTTTCTGTGACTTTAGGTTTTCACCCATGAAGTTGTACTTTTCTGGCCACCATTAAGTTGCCGTTCCAGTGCAGTGACTTTGGTTACCTTTTATCTTGAGTGGTGTCATTGTGGGTTTAAAGCCTAAACCTCCTTCTATCATGTTGCAGACTGACCTTTCCCATTAAAAAGATCTCAGGAAGCATGACTGAAAAAGACTTCAGACTGGGAGCCCTGCTGGTTAGAGGAACAAGACTGGACTAGATGAACTCTGTGTGAGACAACTTTGTAGATTCATAGAATCTCTGATAAAGGGCAAACTAGAATGCAACATGGAGGACTGGGAATGTGAGCTCTACTCTTCACTCATCCAGTGTTAACATTCTTGCCAATATAGTGGGGCTGGAGGCATGTATGGAGCTACTCCTCGCATGATCTTTGCCAAGCTAGATGCAGCTGATGGGAACTGGAATCTTATCAACACCCAGAGACTCCAGGTTCCTGAGCCATGTACTGCATTGTTCAAGTTCCCAAGAGAGATGGTAGAACCTCTTGTGTTCAAGCATTAAGTTGTCAGCACACAACAGAGAGGGCAGGGGAAACAAGGTTGTGTGGCACACAGAATCAGGCGGGCCTATGAACCCAGTCGTGGCATGGATCAGATCCACGCCTAGAATCCTCCCTTCCTTTCAAGCACACTGCTGCTGCCAACTTCTCTACCACTCGCTCACTTGCAAGTCCCAGGCTTCCACAGCATGGAACCATGGCAGTCAAAGAATCATAGTGCTATAATTGTGTAGTATGAATGGGCCCCAGGTGTAAAAGTATTGATGTTGTGCTGGTATGGTACACTTACCCAAAAATGTTAGCCACCACTGATTTACGGTATGTGATCTAATCTGAAGAATAAAAATCTAAAGCAACCAAAAGCTTGATAGCAACAATTCAGATGGTATTACTTCCATCTTTACTATTCAACCCTAACACACACAGGGACAACACATACACAATTTTGGCAGAAAGACAAGGGAAATGTCATGTCAAAAGGTGATTTTATGAAATAAATGTTAATTTTCCTATCTGCACACTGCAAACTCTTTCAGTAAAACATGTGCCCTACTCAGGCTTCTGTTTGCAAATGCCAAGATAACTTTGAGAGAATAAATTGAAAAGGCAATGCACTGAGAATGTTTGTTTCCATCTGAACTATTGGGCACAAGAATCTCCAGAGTGTAGGATTGCCAGGTGAAATAAGTGACAGGGCTCCTGTCCATTTAATGTTTGTATGGAAACAAGAGAGCCAGTATGTTGTAGTGGTTAAAGCATTTGACTATGGACCTTATCACACAGGGCCAAAAGCAGCAAGAATCCACTAAGAATCAGGCGCTATAGCGCTATACATTCCCGCGTGATTACACGACGTCGCTCAGAATCCGCTAAGAATCAGGCGCTATAGCGCTATATTTTTCCGTGTGATTACACGACGTCGCTCAGAATCCAGCAAGAAACCGCTCGGAATGCAGCATCATTCGCATTCTTTTGAATGTCGGTTTCAGCGGGCATTGCAATAGCGCTAGCTTATCCATAGCGCTATTATAGCGCTAGCTCCATATTTATACTAGCGCTATAGTACTGGAATGATGCTCATATCGCTTTCTTGCCACTTTTGAGAGCAGCGTGGGATAAGGTCCTATGACACTGGAGACCTGGGTTTGAATCTCTGTTCAGCCATGGAAACCTACTGGGTGACCTTGGCAAGTCACAAAACCTCAGAGGAAGCCAAGGGCAAACCCCTTCTGAACAAATCTTGCCAAGAAAACCCTGTAATAGAATGGCCTTAGGGTCACCATGAGTCAGAAATGACATGAAGGCATACAACAACTTCAACAACAACAATAAGATGGAAAAAGGAATTTCAACAAGTGTTGCTTGTCATGCCAGCAACTCCTACTGAAAGCCCTGGTCTTTATTTCACATGGAAGCCCTAAATGAGTAGGGTTATCAGAGTTGTTAGGGTAAAAACTGACTGAGTATAGCTGGATTGTTAAGACACTTCTTTCTCCTGAAAGTTCCCTCTTGCTTATGCTTAGTTATTTTCTCTCCAGATGAGCTGCTTCTTTTCTGCCTTTCTTTGTAAAGCTATGGGAGGGGGTCCTAAAGGTCTCCTATCCAGGTTCTGACCAGGTAGACACTCAGCTCTAGTAACATTTGTCACTTCAAGTGCTCACAGACCATTCCAGCAACTCCTTGTACAGTATATAGCCTAGTTAGCAGGGCTAACATTGAAAGAAACAGCTCTGTAAGTGACTGCTCAGGGAGCCACTGTGCAACACCATATTGTCTTGTAAGTTCACATTTTCCATCCATGTTTTGCAGTACGTTGAGCAAGGCATGCTGAGCAAGTAACATAGGCTCCTTCTATGCTAGTGGTGTGAATCATTCCAGAGTCTGTTTTTTAAATCTGTGTAGAAATTGGGAGGTCAGGGAAAGGAAAAGTCATCTTTCTTTGTTTTTGCTTACTGTGTCGAAATCTTCTTAGGTAGCGACAACATAACTCAATTTCTGGCCGTCTCACTTTCGGTGGCATGAGTAAATTATGGCCATAATAAAAACTGTTACTGAGCAAGATTATTTAATATTAGAAACCTGCTAATGTCAATTTGCTGTGTCTCTTTATGTGACTAATGGTGGGACTTTAACCAGTCCTGCAAGCATGTAGAAATATATGCAGAAAGCAATAGGGACATATAATCTCTCTCTCTGTCTCTTTCTCTTGTATTTCAATCCGAGTTCTTTTTTTGCAGAGTTGGGGGAGTGAAGAGTCTATCTTCCCTCACCGAACTGTTTCACAATTTGAAGGTCAGAATCCACAACATTAATGGTTTGCTCATGCAATGAAATATTTAACATGGCTCTGTTACTGCCTCTTCCTTGAAAGTATGTTTCATGCATCATTTGCTAGTGATGTTAAAAGATTTCATGCCGAATTTTTCTTCCCACTCAGCTGGAAATCTGTAAAGGATGTCTGTCTGTCTGTCTGTGTGCATTGGCCAAATATACAGAGGCACATTAATTTATGCAGCAAGAATATGTGTAGCGTGTAGCAACGTGTAAAGTGTGACTGTTACATGTATTCATCACTATACACCTGGGGTTACCTTGAATTTATTCCTAATCAGCTACAGTGAGATCTGTGAATGGTTGAATCCATGGATTAAAAAAATCCATGGATATGAAGGTCTGACTGTACATCACGTGAGATATTAAACCCAAATTCCTCTAATTTGGGTCCAAGTCACCATACTGTTCTCCCTCCTCCCACCAAAGCTAGTCCTCCCTGGTAGTTTCTTGTTTTCCTTAGCAAATTGAGATGGGAGATAAGTTTCCCTGATGCTAAGGAAGCCTTGTGGGTTTCCAATAATTCAGTACATTGGCAATGCAATGCACATATCTCCAGTCTTCTAAACAGCAACATACCATGTGAGCCCAGGTCACAAGGGAGTTCTCTCTGCCCTATCAATTTGTGGTCATCATGCTGACAATTTCACCATGGTGGAATTTATTGTAATCGGCATATTTTCTTATAATTTGTTTCTAATTGTTTTTAAATTTGATGCTGTTTAATAATCTTTTAAGGGTTGGGAGGGTTGGGGTTTAGGGTTGATTTTATTGTATGTATTGTATTTTTATGTTGGAAGCTGCCCCGATTGCTATGCAGAGGGGCGGGGTACAAATAAATTTATTATTATTATTATTATTATTATTATTATTATTATTATTATTATTATTATTATTATTATTATGGTGATCACAGTAGTAACCACCCCCTATGGTTATCACCTCAGATCCCCACTTTCTTCCATCCCCATTCTGCTTCCACTAAAAGTATCTATATAAGCCTGGTTTTTTGGCTTGTAGACTTTGCTTTTCTATATCACTCGAAGGAGTGGTCAAGCAGTAAGCATGGTTATGAAAAAATAATCAATATTGTATTAAATACAGTCCTGGCTTTCTCCCTCATCACCCTCACCGTATAATTACAGCACCTTCCATTCTCACTGTCTCTACCAATCACTATATACCAGACAGTCTACAAATATGTAAATTATATTACAAGGTATGTTTGCTTGTTCAAGACTGCTAGTGTTTTCATGGCCTGGTAAGAAATGAGGCCAAAGGAAGGAATGCAAGATAAGATGGAGGACTCACAGGAGTTCAACTTAATTTTAATGTATTGTTGTTGGCCAACTCGAGCAGAGGCAAAGCATGATTTAATTAAGCAATGTGTATTGATGATACAACATAGACTCCAACCATACATGGAAAGAGAAATCCTAGAGGTTCAAGTGAGGTTCAGGAAAGCAAGAGGCACTAGGGACCACATTGTAAACATACAATGGCTAATGGAGTGCATCAGGTAATTCCAAAAGAAAATCAGCATATGCTTTATAGACTATAGCAAAGCCTTTGACTGCATAGATCATGAAAGGCTATGGAATGCCCTTAAAGACATAGGAGTGCCAACACATCTGACAGTCCTGATGAGGAATCTGTACTCAGGACAAGAGGCTACTGTCAGAACAGAAGACGGAGAAACAGAATGGTTCTCAATTGTCAAAGGAGTCAGACAAGGTCGTATCCTTTCACTCTATCTTTTCAACTTGTATGCAGAACATATTATAAGAAAAGCAGGCTTGGACACAGAAGAAGGAGAAGTGAAAAAAATAGGAGGAAAGAATATCAACAATCTAAGTTATGCAGATGACACCATAGTACTAGCAGA